CGGCAGGCTCCTATTCCCAGAACTCCCCATCGCCCTTCCCTGCCTTACCTTTTCTCCTCAAACTCATGAACTGTGTCATCATGATCTGAGCCGAAATCGAGTTAGAGGCTTAATGACGGAGCCACCCAGGCCCCCTTGTTGTATGTCTTTCTATGCCCAGTAGAATATAAGTCCCCAGGAGGGCAGGAACTTTTACAGTTTTGTTTACTGCTATATCCCTGGGTTCTAGAACTGTACTTGGCACATAGGAACGATTTACCAAATATTTGTTAATGCATGAGTGGATTCAAATGAGAAGTTATATTTGCAGCACGTTGTAATCTGCTCCGCCCTGTAGTAGGCTGACAGAAGCAGGAGCTCCAGGGAGGCTGGCAAACACACCATTATTCACTGGTGGTAACAATGGTCTCCCCCTCATTTTACTATGAAAATAACACAAATATAGGACCAAAAAATCAAACGGAACAAGAGAGTACCTGGTGGAAAGTGAGTCCTGAGACACCAGTCCCATTCCCTAGAGAAAAGCACTGTCGTGCTTCCTTCTGAATTCTTCCTGAATGATAACTGTAAAATACCTAAGTATGGGTTACAGAGCTGACATAATTTTTAAAATGCAAAAGACGCAAGGGTGCCTGGCTGGCTCAGTTGGAAGAGCGTGTGACTCTTGACCTCGGGGTTGTGAGTTCAAGCCCCACATTGGGTGTAGAGATTACTTAAATAAATAAATAACCAAACAAGAAATGCAGGGGCGCCTGGGTGGCTCAGTCCGTTAAGCATCCAACTCTTGATGTTGGCTCAGGTCACCATCTCAGGGTTGATGAGATTCTCTCTTGGGATGCTCTCTCTCCCTTTCTCTCTGTGTCTCCCCCACTTGCGTGCATGCACATGCACTCTCTGTCTCAAGATAAGTGAATAAATAAACACGTTTTTTAAAAATGCAAAGACACAAAGAGAAGGCAAAGAGATTTTAGTATATCTCTGTCCTCTGTGGGCATGGCCACAGATAGCTGGACCGTGGGGCAAACATGTATGTGGAGCCATGCATTAGGGCCCCAGGCTGTCTCTCATACACATTCACATACACCTTTAGGAAAGAAGCTTCGTGTGCCAGCTCTCTGCTGTCAGCTCAGAGCCAGCTGTGGATCCTGTCACCCTCTCTCTCTGCCCCTCCCCCACTTGCATGCGTACCTGTGTGCGCGCTCTCTCTCTCAAAAATAAACATTAAAAAAAAAGGAAGCTTCATGTGCCAGATAACTTGATGGGCAATCTCCTTTCCCTTCCTGATTCTTGCCACACTTTCCCATAGGAGAGGAACCCACGTACACACGTACACACAGAGCATCCTGTCTCTGCCTCTGTGTCTTAAAGAAAATAAACCAGCCTCTCTCTCCTTAGGGTCACACCTGTGATGTGGCTGCCATTCCCCGTTCGACCTCAGGCTGAAGGCGAAAGAGTAGAAGGAATATTTTGTGTTTCTCCAAATGGTAAAACAAAGCCCTGAAATTTGTTCTATATCCACTGTCAGATGGGTGAGGACGCAGACCCAGCTGTGGCTTGCAGCTCAGGCCCTCCCAGCTCAGTGCAGGGAGGCCTGAAGTGGAGGGATGGGGCACTAAGTGGTGGATGGGGGGCCGGGGGAGGGGGGCACTCTAGTGAGACAGCCCGATGGAGGACAGTATCTCACCACATGACAGGAGGCCAGAATCAAGTCCTAATTCAGTTTCTGGCGAGCTCTGTGACCTTGAGCACGTCCCTTAAGCCCTCTGAGCTTCAGTTTCCTCTCTAAGTAGGAAACGTTATGCTGCCTTTACTTATGCATTTTGAGTGTGATGCAATTCCCCTGAAGTATGTGAGAGCACTTTACAAAACACAAATGCTCTACAAATCTAAGTCATTGTTCAGTTCAACAAAACTGTTTCCATTACAGACAATGTCAAACTTATATCCTAGTAGAGAGAAGAGTGGAAGAGTACATAGTGCATAATTCCATTTAAATGATCTGCGTGCTGTCTCTCTAAATAGGGTTTTTCTGGACATGTCATTTACATGGACTCATTTAATAATTTTCACAAAGGATTACTAAATTGTACACTTATAATCGATAGAATGTATTGATGTGTAAATTATACTTCATAAAGCTGTCTTTTAAAAGCAAAACTAGGGGCGCCTGGGTGGCTCAGTTGGTTAAGCATCCAACTCTTGATTTAGGCTCAGATCATGATCCCACGTTCATGGGATTGGGCTCCACATTGGGCTCCATGCTGAGCATGGAGCCTGCTCAAGATTCTCTCCCTCCCTACTGCCATCACTCATGCTTTCTTTCTAAAAAAAAATAAGTAAAACTAGGGGTACCTAGGTGGCTCAGTGGGTTGAGCGTCCGACTTTGGCTTAGGTCATGATCTGGCAGTCCATGAGTTTGAGCCCTGTGTTAGGCTCTGTGCTGAGCGCTCAGAGCCTGAAGCCTGCTTTGGATTCTGTGTCTCCCTCTCTCTCTGCCCCTCCCCCACTCATGCTCTGTCTCTCTGTCTCAAAAAAAATAAATGTTAAAAAATTTTTTTAAATAAAAAAAGTAAGTAAAACTTAAAAAATGATAAATAGGGGCACTTGGGTGGCTCAGTCGGTTAAATGTGCAACTTCAGCTCAGTTCATGATCTTGTGGTTCAGGGTTCAAGCCCTGCGTTGGGCTCACTGCTGTCAGCACAGAGCCTGCTTGGGATCCTGTCTCCCTCTCTCTCTGCCCCTCCCCAGCTCAAGCTTTCTCTCCATCTCAAAAATAAATGAAAACATTTAAAAAATTTTTTAATAAATAAATAAAAAGCAAAACTAAAGTATGGGAAATAAGAAATAATATAATGAGACTCAGCAATTATCGATTTGTGGCCAATCTGGTTTTATCTATATATGCCCATGTCCAATTTCCTTGCTCTACTGTTTTGCTGCAAATTCAAGATTACATTATTTTGGTTGTAAATATATTAATATGTGCTTCTAAAAGATACTCTTTTTTAAAAACACATAACGAAAATATCATTATCCCAGCTAAAATATTTGACAAGATTTTTTAAAGTCATCAAATATTCTACCACTGTTCAAATCTCCAGTTGTCTTAAAAATGTTATAAATGTTTGCGTACAGTTTGTTTAAAAGCAGAAGCCACATAAAATCCACATATTGTGATTGGTTGATATGTCTTTTAAGACAATTTTAACCAATATGTTGCCCCTCCATATCATCGCCTCCCAGCCCCCTCATT